GCGGAGGGGGGGGGGAAAAGCTGCCGCGGGGGGGGGGGGGTGTCTCTGACGTGCCTGAAACACTGCGTGGCACCTCAGATGGTGCCCAGAGGTTTGGCTGTCAGGTCTGTCCTTGCCGGCTCCTGCCCCGGCATCACGGGGGCAACGCTTGCCTGCCATCACCTGCCCCCCCGAAGAAAATTGCCCAGCGCCTGTGGCCCGATGTGCCCGGGATGGCTCCAGCCCTGGGGCACGGCAGAGCCGGGCATCCCATTTTCCTCCCCACAGAGCTGGGGTTTCTCCCCTCGGATTTCAGAGCAGCCTCCAGCAAGAGGCCAGGTTACACGGACTCTCTTTTGGCTCAGTTGGGTCAGATTTCCAGGCAGAATTTCTGGATGAAAGCAAGAAAGGGGGGAAAAAAAAAAAAAAAAGCCCCCATCCTGCCCCTTACACCCCCCGGGATGCCGGGTGCTGCTCCCCCAGGGCTTCGAGTCCCCCTTCTGCTCTGGTTCAGCCAAGGAAGGCTTCTCCTAACCCCCCCAGCCTGTCGAACACCAAATAATCTTGAAACACTCCTTGCCGGGCAGGTCACCCCTCCGCTACCTCGTGTCCCGGGCTCAGTGGGCGACCGGCTTTGCACAGCTCCGAGCCAAACCCCCGGTGTCCCCCAGGCAGGCCGGCAGCCCCCCCGTGCCATCGCACCCCACCAGTGGTGCCGCGAGCTGGGTCCAACCCACGATGGGCTTTCCCACGGCTCCACTCGCCTCCATCCACGTGAGACGGCAATGGTGCGAAGGCAGCCTCCGAAGCAATAGGGAGCTGGAGTTGCATTTCCAGTTGCATTCCTTTTTTTCTTTTTTTTCCCACTTAATTCTCTGCACATCCCTAATAGGAAAGTGAGCCCCCCCATTGATTTTTTCTTTATTCTTTTTTGATCTTTCAGCTTGGTTTTTTTTACACCTGACTTGCAGCTGACCTGCGTCTTGTCCTGCGGGGTGGGTGGCAAAGCACAGCCTGCACTGGCAAGCGGGGTCGGGGCGGTGTGCTGGCGAGCATGGGGCCAAGGGGGTCCTGGTTCCTCCTTCTT